TCTCTCGTGTTCTCTGCCTCCTGGTTCCGCCTGCACAGAGACCTCCGGAAGAGGGGCAGCCCCCCTGGCAGAGCAGATGGTGGGCCAGGGCCAGGCGGCTGCTAATGGCTGCCCTGCTTTTAGGCCTGCTCCTTGGTTCCTTTGTGCTTTTGACCTACATCTTCCAGAGCTGTGGACCTCGTAAGCAGGCTCCTGGAACCCCCAACCCCCGCAGCCCTCCCTCAGTCACGGGCCCCATCTGTCCATCACCCGGAGGCTCCGCGCCCACCGACCTAATTCCCCACTCATCCTGGCCCTCCCCTCTCCCCCTTCCCAGTTCTTTCCCCTGAGCCCCACCCGGGGACACCAATAAGGCCATCTCCTCACCAGGGCTCTCCCCGTCCTCACCACGCGTTCCTTTGCCCGGCCCCTTGGGGGAGCCCTCATCCCTCTTTCCCCCCAGCTCTGAGCTTTTCCCCACAGGCTCCTGCGAGAGGCCCGCGTGTGGGCACCTCCTGAGTCATTACCTGGCCTCTAAGAACACCAGTGTGGCCCCCTGCACTGACTTCTTCAGCTTTGCCTGTGGAAATGCCAAAGGCACCAGCGACCCTTTTCAGGCCCTTGCTGAGGAGAGCAGGAGCCGACTTCGGAGGATACTGGGTAAGGAGTGCAGGGCGAAGGTTCTCTGTGCACACCGGTGACTCTGAACCTGAACCCTCGTGACTCCAACGCCTGTGTGGCTGGGGGACCGCGGGCCTGCGCCATCCCCAGTGGGCCGTCGGAACACCGCCCGGGTGCGCGCCTCTCTCACTGTACCTGTCGCCTCGGACACCTCCTCTCAGCCATCTCTCCTGGCCTCTCACTTCATCTTTTCTTTACCTAACCCCCACCCCCTTTCCTTTTCCACTTATCCGTGGTTACTCCCTTTCTCCAAGTCCCCCCCTTTTACCAGCTCCATCTTTGTAGTCGCCCCTATATGTTCAGTTTCTGTCCTGCACCTGGTCTCTTCCCCACCAGCACCTCCTCAAGAGCTTTTGCCCTTTAATTCTCTCCATCACTCTCCATCCCTGGCCTCCGAAGCCTTCTTGTGTCCATGCCGCCTGCAGGGTTGTCCTCTCTGTGCCGTGAGCTCCCCTCTCTCGGACAGTGCTCTCCTGTGCGCCACCGACACCTGGGGCCGTGGCGTGCAAGCCGAGCTGGAGCAGTGGGACAGTGGGGGTGGACCGTGGGAGGCGGGGTGGGAAGAAAGAAGTGGCACAGCGGGGTGAGAAGTGACGGGGGGACTTTACATGGCTGTGTGTGAGGGAAGGCGCAGACTGTGAATAGGCATGAAGAGGAACAAGTTAAAGCCCTGGGGCAAAGAAAAATCCCTGTAGACGGTGGCTGTGGAGGAACGACAAGACCCCAGGGGAAAACCATGAGGGAAGAACCGAGCCCATCCGGGGGGCTGCGCGTGGGTCCCAGGGAGTGGGACGGTGGTGAGGATTTGGACATGGGAACTTTTAAGACAGTCCTGCATTGCCAGGGGAAGGGAGCCTGGAGAGTGTGTGGGCAGCGCAGGTTGGAATTTAGGCGAAATAAATGCACCCCCCTGGCCTGCTTGTGATGCAGAAAGAGTGGAAGTAGGCTCCCCGTTGGCCGGCCCGGCCTTCCTTTAAGGCACAGGGGTGAAAAGAAACAATGGGCTTGGGATAGACCGCGTGCCCACGATGGCATGAACGGACATTAGGGACACCGAGGGAGAGGCGCTAGATCTTGGAGGGCTCGTGATTCCAACGGGCATGGGTTTGGCTTATTGTCATGTGTCTGTTTATTTTTTTAAGGTTCAAAGAGGGAGGAGTCTCGGTTAGGAGAGCCCGCCCCGTTTCTTCTCCTGGCTAAGCCCTTCCTCAAAGCTCTTGGATGTCCTGAATTTCTCTGATTCCTTTATTTATCTCCCTCCCGCCTTCCATGCCCACCCCCTGTCCTCTGTCCATATCCCGCTTCTTCCTCTCTCTCCTTCCCTTCCCTGCCTTTTCCTCCTTATTTCCATTCTCACCTCCCCTTTATTTTCCTCATTGTCTCCTCCACACCCTTTGCCTGCTCTAACTCCGCCATCTAGGTGATCTGTCCAGACTGGACAGTCCTCCCGTCTCCCCAAGTTTCCTTACCCCTCCACCCCCCGCCCTTCCCTTTCCCCATGAGTCTCCCCTCTTTGCTATAAGCTCCCCGCCTCAGCCTTCTCTGCTTGCCTCTGCTCCGGCCCCGCTCCTGTAACCCACCCGTGCTTCTCTTCTAGAGGCCCCAGGGTCCTGGCACCTGGGATCCGGGGAAGAGAAAGCCTTCCAGTTCTACAACTCCTGCATGGACACAGGTGCCATCGAGGCTGCAGGGGCTGGTCCCCTCAGACAGGTGATTGAGGAGGTGAGACACGGGGCATCATTCTTCTGGATACACATTACATAGGACCAATGTATGCTCAGGGCTGTCGTTTTGTTTTCTAGAGGGTGGGTTTCTTTCTTAGGGATCCCCAAGTTCTAGGAGGTTAGATGGAAATGACAATGCCCTGTGGAAATATTAGGTCCTTGGGTGAGGCTGGAGAAAGGGGGATAGAGGTGGAGCCCTGGAGAGATCAAAGAACTCAGAGTAGAGGTCAGGAAGTAGCAGCTGTCTGAGGATTGGGGTACAGGGGTCGGAGACAAGACCCCTATGCTGAGCCTTGTCTCTCTTCTTCCCAGCTTGGAGGCTGGCTACTCTCCAGTAATTGGACTTCCTTAGACTTTAACCGAACTCTGAGCCTTCTGATGAGTCAGTATGGTCACTTCCCATTCTTCAGAGCTTATCTGGGACCTCATCCCACCCCTCCACACACGCCAGTCATCCAGGTGAGGGATGTACTGGCAAAAACACAGGGAGACCTGGGCCTGCCTGGAATTCCAGCCTCTCATTTCTTAGAGGAGGGGTGCAGGTTGGGGAGACAGGATAAATATGCAATGTAGGGAAAAGACCTATCTTCAGGGCAGATCATTCAGGTGAGAGTTAGCACTCTAGGCAAGATTCAGGAAAGGAGCAGCAAGGCCAGTCCTGGGAAGACAGAAGTAGTTTGGGTCTTCCTTATTGCTTATCTGATTACCCCAGAACCTCCTAACTAGACCCCTGTCTCCAGTGTCACAGTTACTCTTTATTTTCTTCTGGGGAACCTTTCTCCATCAAGAGCTAATTATGCTATTATCTCTGCTTAAATGCCTTCGCTGACTCACCAGGTCTTCAGGATCTAGTTCTTAATCTCGAGCAAAACCTTGCAGGTCTTTTTACTGTCTGATCCTACTGACTTCTCCAGCCTTATCTCCTGCCACATCCCTTCTGCCCCTTAAACTCCAAGCCATGCTCGCTCACTTATAACTCCTCAGTCCTTTGCATGTCTGACTCCCTTTGCCTGCAGCACCACTCCCCAGTCCCCCACACTCAGCCTGGAAGATGGACATATTTTGACTTATATTATCACTTCTTCCAAGAAGTCTTCACGGACACCCTGGCTAGAGTTTGGGAACCCCTCCCCTTTCCCATGCTCTGAGCACTAAACTCTGCGCTGGAGACTAAGCCTCTTAAAAACAGGGCAGCGCTGTGTTCACCTTTGTTTCTCAGGACCTAGCCCAAGGCCAGGCCCACACCAGGTGTTTGTTAAGCAAGTAAATAAATAAAAGCATTGGCGGCTTCGGTATTGTGGTAGGCAATGTGATGCTATGTATTTGACCCCATTCTTAACCGTTTCACAAATTTATAAAGGGTAAATATACAAGAAGAACTGATCACCAGTATGGGGTGTTCTAGGCTTCAGTTCTAAAGGGGGTGCTCAGGAGTTTAATGGCCTTTGGGGATTAGTTAAAATCTGAAATGGTTAAGGAAAGGCTCAGGGAGTAGAGACTGTGAGCTGAGCCCTGAAGCTGTGGTTGGTTCATACAGGTGAAGGTGAAGACATAGGGCATGCAAAGAGCAGTGGGGGAAGTCCTGAGCAAAGGGGAAAGCCTGGGGTGGTGTGACTCCTCTGTGGGGTCGGTGGACAGAGGATATGGGGGTGGGGTGCAGTCAGAGGTAAAAGTAAGCCTGAAGACATGAGGCCAGGCTGATTATTCCATTCCTAAGAAGCCAGATCGAGGTGATAACTTTTGACATAATAGAAAAACATTGCTACTGAGGCCTTTCAAATCCAAGTGTTGTGCAATGAACTTAAGTGGAGTCAGCAGTTTGCGAGGTCAACCTGGAGGTGCTGAGGAACCGAGAGGGGCAAGTTTCAGGTTCTGAACTGAGATGCTTACGGTAGAAATGGGAACAAGAGGCCAGGTGTGAGGGTTTAGGTGACTTCGACCTTGTGGTCATGGTCCAGAGGACTTGATGACTGATTGAATGTACATAAAAAAAAAATGGAGAAATTGGAAAAGGTTCTCCCAGCTTTGATTTGGTGTGAATGGGAAGAAGGTGGTTACTCTCCATCTCGAGACTGGATGGAGCCTGGGGAGAGAGAACAGATGGCAGAGGGAGCACCCCAGTGAGGGGCTGGGGGCAGAGAAGAGCAAGAGAAGGCAGGGGGTGCTAGTCAGACGGGCCACCAAGTGAGCCACGAAGGACAGGGAAGGAGCCAGTTTCAGGAAGGAGGAGTCAGCCCTGATTCTAAGACTTCTGAGCTCAGAGAGTAGGGAATGAGCAGACAGCACTGGGACCTCCTAGAGATAATATCAGGAACGGCTGTGCGACTGGCCACAGGCCACACGGAGTTGAGGAGGGAGCGAAGGGAGCCGAAGTACGGACATAGACGACTTAATTCTTTAGTACAGACATAAAATGCGATGAGGGAGTCGGGTGAAAGTTTTTTCAAGGCCAGGGAAATTGTAACTCAAGGCAGGAGTGGGATTGAAGTTGGAAAAAACAAGGGAAACTGTAGGAGAAACAATTTTCAGAATGGGATCGAGGACCCGCCAGCGCAGAGCCCAGATGAGGCGAGGGAGGCCAGCAAGCCTCTCGGCCCGTGTGCAGAATGCAAGAGGGCACCCAAAACCCAGTGGTCAAGAGAAATCATATTTTAATGAATATTTTAAAAAATCAAGGTCAATGCAAAAACCCATGATGAACAAAATATCAAAATTTTGTTCAGTGTGGACTTTTTGAAAAAGAAAGAAAAAACCATATATCTATTTCTCCAAAATGGATTAAAACTCTATCATAGACTTTTTTGAAAACATCTACAATTTTTTTTTTTAAAGTGAATTGAAAATACATTGTGGATTTGGGGGCGGGGGAATCTATGGCGAACAAGGCCTTGTTCTTTTACTCAGCATGGATTTTTAACACTCACTTTGATTTTTAAAAATGTCAGTTAGGATATATCTTGATTACTGAGTTTTTAGTACCTCTTTAATTTTGCACCCGAGATGGGTATCTCGCTCATGTACCCTGGACCTTACCCTCGCACAGAAATGCCTTCCTTCAGGGCATGGATTATTATGCGTCTCTCTATGAGCGCCCCCAAACTGGCTGAAATACCCACCTTCTCTGGTCTTTTTCCCCGTGCCCCTTGCATCCAGGCCCGTCCTTTCTTTGTACTCTCGCTCCTTCTCTGTGCCGTTTATTCCATCTCCTGAGGCTGTCTTCCACGACGGCCCCCATCTCCCCACACCAGCCCTCTCCTTCCTCCACACTACCCACTTCTCTCCAGTCTCTCTTGTGTCCAGATAGACCAGCCCGAGTTTGACATTCCCTTCAAGGAAGAGCAGGAACAGAAGATCTATGCCCAGGTAAGACGGAACGGTGGACAAAGGTCCCGACCTTTGCCTCTAGGAGAAAGGCAGGGGCCACTGGTGGCTGTGACTGAGGTTCCCCCTCCCCCAGATCATGCGGGAATACCTGACTTACCTGAATCAGCTGGGAACCTTGCTGGGAGGAGACCCAGGCAAGGTGCAAGAACATGCCTACTTCTCCATCTCCATTACCTCGCAGCTGTTGCAGCTTCTGAGGCCCCTGGGGCAGCAGCGGGCACAGGGAAAGCTCATCCAGATTGTCACTATAGACCGACTGCAGGTGCCTTGAACCAGGGACTGGAGGGGGATGGGCATGAGGGTCTCTCTCCCAAACTCCCTCCACCTCCTTGTCTTCGCTGTCCACATCCCCTTAATTCCTTTCCATCCCTGACATTTTTGGCTCCATCGGTTCCCCCAGCCACCCCCTTCCCCATGCCCCCTCAAACTCTGAAGGTGGGGAGACTGTTGTCCTTCCCCCTCTCCCCTTTTCCTGTTCCCCTCAGCCTTTGTGTCCCTTTTCTAAGGAAATGGCCCCTGCCATTGACTGGTTATCCTGCCTGCAAGCAACATTCGCACCAATGTCCCTGAGCCCCTCCCAGACTGTCGTGGTCCATGACCTGGATTATTTGACGAACATGTCGCAACTGGTGGAAAAACAGCCGTTGAGCTACAGGTTTGCCCCAGGTGGGACTGGGGAGGTACCGGGTGGAGGAAAGAGCCTGAGGACCCAAAGGTCTCAGGAACGCAGGTGACTTCTGAGAATGAAGGCTGGTAAAGGCCTCCCAGGAAGATGGAGGAGATTCACAGACCCATGGGACAGAGAAGGGGTGGGGTGGACAGCCCAAGAGGGAATGGAGGAAGGATGAGAGGCTTGAGGGGCTTGGGGAGGGAAAACACACATGAAGTGAGGGATACAGGGGTCCGGCAAGTCGCAGGATTTGCTGGGAGTACACCCAGCCTGTGGAGAGCCTCTAAGCTGTGGGAGATGCTGGAAGACCAGGCACGGGGCTAGCTCAGCGGTGTATGTCTCATCAGCGGCTCATGGGTACGCATGGGTGTGGGGGGACGCAGGAGGTGAAAGCAGGGGTGCTGTGGGGGGAAAGCTGAGGGAGAGGCCACTTCTCAGCTGGAGACCTTGTGGGAAAGATCAGGAAGTTGAGGAAGGTGGGGAACATGAGGGTGACGCTCTGTGTTGGGCCCCCCTCCATCCCTGATACCTGTGTGCCCACCACCTGAAGGGACTTCCTTCTCGGGCTTATGCCCCTCTTCATAGTAACTCAGGGGCAACAACATCTGGAGCTGGTTTACGCAAGGGCACAAATCACACCTGTAAGAGAGATGCCAGCAGGGCAGAGAAAGGGCCCAGGCCCGGCTCTGCTGTGCTTAGAAGGTACGTCTTATACGTCTTAAGATGAGCTGAGATGCCTTGGTTGGGGAAGTAGATGAATCAGTTTTGTGAAAACTTAGTCCAGCCTTCATCTAGACCGGATCCTTCCCTCCCTATGGCTTGAGAAGTCTGCCTCTTTGTCCAGGTCCTTCTGTCGTCATTTTCCCAGCCCACTCCGACCCAATCCAAGGCGAGCTCTCCTTCCCTTTCTCACGGTCACATGGTTCTCCTCCGTAAATACAGAGGAGAAGGGGCTTCTCCCTGGAATCCGCCTGACTTACGCAAGGAGAGGCTTTGCTTGAGGGACCCCCAGAGCCTTGGGGTGTAAGTGTGGGTCTCTTTTCTCTCCACAGGGACTTTTTGCCCAGCCACATGATCTTCGGGCTGATAGACACCCTTTCTCCAGCCCTGGACAGTAAATTCCAGGAGGCACGCAGATTGCTGAGCCAGAAACTGCGGGAGCTGACTGAACGGCCACCCGTGGTGAGGACAGGAGGGCATGAATTGTCCCAGATTGGGGGCTAAAGGAGCACCTGTCATTTTGAGGGGTAAATTTTGGCCTATTGCTCTCAGGTCGGGGGCATGAGGGTAGATGCCCCTCAATGTCTGGGCCTTTCACAGAGGCCGACAGGGTGGGCTTACAACACTTACCTTGAGAACCGATGTGCCAAGTACCGGAACTTTATGGCTATGGCCTTTTGCTAAGTATTAACGGTTAAATATAGAACTCTAAAATGACCAAGAGCTGCCTTTCCTTTGTCATGACCCGTAAACTATTTTCCTAGCCACTCTGAGCTCTGAGATTTGAAGACGGATGCGAGACAGGTATAGCTAGCAGTGGCCTTCCCTCTGTCCAGGTGGTTCCAGTCTTTAGTGTTCAAATTCCTCACAAACAGTTTATCTCTGACATTCAGTGGGATCTGTTGGGCCACACTGTGCGCTTTGTGGCACAGATCCCAATATATCTGAGGAGGGGGCTAAGTAGCAAATGCATTTTACTAACTGAAGTCTACTGTGTTAGATAAGATGTGGAGATATTTTTTCACTGAGAACTTTGAAGTCCTGGGTTGGACACATCCAAATGCAAGTGGAGGTATCTAGTAGGTTAGAAACACCCCAACCTCGGGCCTTGATTTAGTCTTGAAATTCACGGGGTTTTTGTGGCATTTTTCTTAGTCATTTATGAACCATTTCTCTGCCCTGGAGAAACTCGCCACCTGAAATATCTGTGGAATTCAGAGAGGGGAAATGTATGCACAGGGACTGGAGTGTATGTATTGCTTATTGAGAATTTATAATGTGCTAGACATTTTTCTAAGCCCTTTAGATAGATGAGCTGGTTTAATTCTCACAAGTTTTCCGCATAATTTTGTCCCTGTTTTATAGATGGGGAAATCAAGGCACAAAAGTTAAGAAACTTGACCAACATAGTACACCTAGTAAGTCGGTAGAGCTACATCGGGTAGCTACTCTTTTGCAGTTTCATTGCATGCATCTTTTATCATAAATGACTTTATTTGAACTCTGATAGTCTGGCTCCAGAGTCTGTGTGCTTAATCACTGTTTTAGAAACAACAAAACAAAAAAACACTCCTTCTTAGGACTTTCACTCAGGTGGGCAAGGCCCCAGGTAGATTCCTTCTGCTCAGCCTTTCTCTTCACTCAGATGAAGAACAGAACCCCGACTCCCGTTAGCTGTGGTTGCTATAAAATCCCTGGCAACAGCCAGCTTCCTATGAATCCCAGAGCCATGGCCTGGTGGAGATTCTTGAATAGGGGGAAGAGTGCCAATGGTGAAACTCACGCTTGAGCTTAGAAGGCTTACAGTTTGCTAAAGTCATGTCCTTTAAATATATCTGTATATCTATATATCTATATATCTATATTCCATTTATTAGGATATATAGTTGTTTTGGGGCTTAAAAGCTGAATGAAGCTCTATCAACAAATGGTTGTGTGGCTTTGGGGACCCCACTTCACCTCCCTGAAACAACGGTACCAAATATAACAAGTAATAATAATAGCCGATACACACTGGGTAGCTACTCTTTTGCAGTTTCATTGCATGCACCTTTTAGCATAAATGGTTTTATTTAATCTTCCCAGAAACACTCTGGGGACCTCAGAAAGAACAAGTAACTTTTGCAAGACTACACAGCTCACACATAAGAAACAGACACCAGGACAATCCGTCTGGCTCATGGGGTCATGTTTTTAACCACATACTGTGCAGGATTGAGAAATTAATGGGTGGTACAGAAAATGGGTTGGCAAATTCTTTCTATAAAGGGCAAGATAGAATAATTTTTGGCTTTGTGGTCCATATGGTCTATGTGGCAACCACTCAACTCTGCCTTTGTAACACAAAAGCAGAAGTAGAACAAATAAATGAAAGGGTGTAGCTGCATTCCATGGAAACTCTGGTTTAGACAACAGATACTCTTAGAGTTCCCAAGAGGAAGGGATCTGGGTTGGTTTGACAGTCCAGTGGGATTTCCCCACAAGAGGTAGGAGGGAAGCAAGGTCTAAAGAATCGAAGTTTTCTGGCAAAGAAACTGCTATCATTTCATTGAGACAAGCCATGGGATAGACTGGCTGAAACATGGTGCAATATGACAGATCCTCCTGGTGGCTCTGGCTGAGAAGAGTGGGCTGGGCTACACCTGCGCTGGGGTGCATGCCCAGGAGTTTGAGGATCAGCAAGGAACCAGTGTACCTGGAACAGAGAGTGCAAATAGGATAAGAGTAGGGAGGAGTTTGGAGAGGGAAGGAGGGGAGAATACAGGGCCCTGTAGGNGGGAGGAGTTTGGAGAGGGAAGGATGGGAGAATACAGGGCCCGGTAGATCACTGTAGAGATTTTCGCTTTTCTCTGCATGAAAAGGGGGCCTAGAGGATTTATCTGTTTTTTGTTTTAAAAGAGTGTATTTTGAAAGTAAGCAACAAGATTTCCTGATAGATGTGTGGTGTGAGGAGAGTGGAGTCAAAGACACTGCGAAGGTTTGGCCTTAATTTGACCAGAATTCATGAGTCTATTCGATGGTTATTACGTACAGATTTCTAACTATATTCTTCTGAATGCATTCTCCTTTGCATTGCCCTTATCCAGAAAGGCTTCGAGGTCTCATTATATGACCATATTTTTCTGGTTAATTCTGAATATATAGGCAATAAAAATGGCTCTTAAGCCAGGTCTTATTAAATTTGAGAAAGCAGAGTTTGGGGCAGTAAAAGTAGGACTTCGCATTTGTACTTGTTAAATGTGAACTGTTTCTATTCAGGCCAGGCTCCCTATTCAGGTAATTTCAATCTTTTTTTCAATCATCCGTTATATTTCCTTTTCTTTTCCACCCTGGATGCTTTGCAGTTTTATAGTGTATCTTCATCTAGGCTACTGTGAAGATCCTGAAGAAGAAAGAGCCTCGGATCAGGCTGTTGAAGACCTGGCTATAGATTCATCCATTCATTTATGCAGCAAATATTTATTGAGCACCTGCCAGATACCAGACACTTCTCTAGGCACTTAGACTACAGTGAACAAAAGAGAAAAACATCTCTGCCCTCAGACACTTACATGCTAATGGATGAAGAAAGACAATAAGCTAACCAAATGTTATGGAAAAATAAAACAGGGAAAGGAGAGGCTGTGTTAGGCGGGATCATCTTACAATTGTCAGTAGTCCTGGTCAGGGACACTCATACCAACTTGGATCATTAATTTTCCCCCCTTGATTTTTAGCAAGAGTGGAAGGGAGGGAT